TTGAATTACATAACAAGTTTAGTTAAATTTCTCAGAATCTTTCCTGAAATAATTATTAGCATAAAATGTGTATATATTTACCTGTGGAGTTTGAAGTGAACAGATTGTCCAGATGCTTTTAATTGGGATGTAAAGCAGATAAATGTTGAGGATTCCACCAAAGTGGCCCTAAAATAGAGAAATAAAGGAACTATTTTGGATTCTACTAAAACAAAATTCAGATGACCACAAAATATTCTTTTTTATTTTTTTTATCATTCATAAAATATAATTAGAATCAGAATAAATTGTAGTTTAAAAAGTCCACAAGTTCTCATTCTACAACTCAAAACACATATATCAGAAAAAGTGGAAAAATCTGGAATGGAAATATGTAAAAAATAATATTATTTTATAATGAAAGGCATCACTAAATTCTCATAGCAAGGAAATTTAGAATATAAATGACCACCCAAATTATATTCTAGATACAAAGAGGAATTCACACATTGGCCTTCATGCATTGTTAGAGTTGTATACATTTAATAATTTCTAATCCTATTTCCAAATAATAGAAATGTTTCTTTTGGGAGTAGGCACATGAGGGAACAGACTGACATTGGAGCTCTTCAAAAAAGTCCCATTTCTGAGTATGGCTACTGTTTTAACTGTCTCACAGCTCCCTAGAAAAATTCAGTTGACTCAGTGTTGCCTTTATTTGACCCAACTCAAAGAAAAACACATATCACCTGAATGTTTGTTGAAAACAGTCAGTAGCACTTGTACCTAAGGCTGCTACACCAGTTGGAACAGATATGAGCCAACTAAAACATAAAAAAAACATCTGGGGAACCAGATGCCCATATGCAGGGCTGCAGTAGCTTGCTAGATCCCACAAATATGCCAAAGATCTTCAACACTATGAGAGACAATGATGTCTCACCAAATAAAGAATGTCAATAAAGATAGATTATACAAAATAACCAATTATAAATTCCACACTTAAAAAGTAAATTATCTGAAATAAAAAATCACTAGAGGACCTTAACAGTAGATTTGAGGTGGTAAAAGAACCAATGCACTTGAAAATAGGTAGAATAAAATGATTAATTCTAAAGAACAGAAAAAACATCAAGTAGAGAACATAAAACAAAGAGACTGAAATTAATAAGAAAACCAAATGGAAATTCTGGAGATGGAAAGTACAATAAAAATATATGAAAAAATCACTAGAGAGGCTCAACAGTAAATTTGAACTGGCAGGACAAAAAGAATTAACAAACTTGAAAATTGATAGAGATTATGCAATCTAAAGAAGAGAGAAAAAAATAATAAAGAAAACACAGCAGAGTCTCAAACATATACAGTACACCATTAAATTGACGACCATAGAATTACCAAATTGAAAGAAAAAAAGAAAGGAAAAAAAGCAGTTTGAAATACAGGGTGAGTGAACAGAGCTGGAACCATTATACTCCCTGATTTCAAACTGTATTACAAAGCTATAGTAAATAAAACAGTATGGTATGGGCATAAAAGCAGACACATAAATCAATGGAACAGAATAGAGGGCCCAGAAATAAATTCATGCATATATGGTCAATAATGTAAGACAAAGAAGACAAGAATATATAATTGGGAAAGGTGTCTCTAAAATAAATGGTGTGGGGAAATTGGACAGTCACATGCAAAAATAATAAAAGTTGACCACCAACTTACACCATACACAAAAATTAACTCAAAATGGATGAAATACTTGAATGTAAGACCTGACATTGGAGCTCTTCAAAAAAGTCCCATTTCTGAGTATGGCTACTGTTTCTTTAAGAAGAAAATATAGATGTTAAGCTCCTTGACATAGTTCTGGGCAAATATTTTTTTAATGACACCAAAAGCAAAAATAACAAAAGCAAAAATAAACAAATGGGACTACGTTAAACTAAAAGGCTTCTGCACAACAAAATGAAAGAGCAGACTATAGAATGGGAGAAACCATTTGTAATGCTATGTCTAATAAGGGACTAATGTCAAAAATATAAAAATAACTCAAAGAACTCAATAGCAACACACACACACACACACACACACACACACACACACATCTGAATAAACATTTTTTTTTCAAAAAAAAATACAGATGGCCAACAGGTACATCAGTAATCATCAGGGAAATGCAAATCAAAACCACAATGAGATAACACCTCACAGCTATTAGAATAGCTATTATCAAAATATCATGGAATAACAAGTGCTGATGAGGATGTGGGAAAAAGGGAAACCTCGCTCATTGTTGGTGGGATTGTAAAATGGCGCAGCTATTATAAAAAACAGTTTGAAGGCTCCTCAACATGTTAAAAATAGAGCTGTCATACTACCTAGCACTACCACTTTAGGGTATTTACCCAGAGAAAACAAAAACACTAATTCCAAAATGTATTTGTACCCCTATGTTCATTGCAGCATTATTTACAACTAGAGGCTTGATACACGAAATGCATGCAAGGGGCTGGGCCCTCGCAGCCCTGGCTGCCTCAGCCAGTCCTCACAGCCCCAACTTCATCCGGAAGGTCATCTGAAAGGTTGTTCGGCTATCTGATCTAATTAGCATATTAGCTCTTTATTATATAGGACTAGAGGCCCGTTGCAGGAAGATTCCTGCAATAATAGGGCTTCCTGCGGCTGGAGCGAAGCAGAGAAGGGAGTGAAATCCACTGAGGCGGGCTTCGCTCCCGCTCCCAGCCACTGTGGCTGGGTTTCCCCTCCCGCTCTCAGCTGCTCCAGCTGGGTTTCCCCTCCTGCTCCCAGCCACTGCAGCTGGGTTTCCCCTCCCGCCTCCCACCTCCACAGCCTTGGCTCCATTCCTGTCTCTGCCACCTCTACTTTGCTTCCTTCTGTAGCGCTTTGCTTCCACATTGTCTTCAGTCTTCGCTCCCAGCTGGTATATGCAAATTAACCGCCATCTTGGTTGGGTGGCGGTTAATTTGCATATAGCCGCTCTGATTGGCTGGTGGGCGTGGCTTAAGGCATAGCGAAGGTATGGTCAATTTGCATGCCTGTCTTTTATTAGTGTAGATGGCCCAAATATGGAAACAACCTAGGTGTCTGTAGATAGATGAACAGATGACTAAATTGTGGTATATATACACAATGATATATTACTCCACAAAGAAAAGGATGTACCTAGAGGGTATTATGCTAAGTAAAATAAGTAAGACAGAGAAATCTAAGACCTTATTAATTCACCTATATGTGGAATCTAAAAAAAAAAAACTATACAAAACAAATGAATAAGCAAAATAAAACGGAAACCAATCCAAAAATATAAAGAACGTGCTAATGGTTGCTGAAGGGGAGTGGGGTGAAGATACGGGTAAAAAAAAACCCACAAAGATGAAATCTTGGCATTTGTGACAACATGGATGGAATTTGAAGACAATATCCTAAGTGAAATAAGTCAGACACAGAAAGACAAAAACTATATGAACTCTCTTATGTATGAAATCTAAACGAAACAAAAATCCAGCTCAAAGATACAGAGAGCAGATTGGTGGTTCTCAGAGATGGGGGATGGATGGGTGGGAGAAATGGATGAAGAGAGTCAAATGATAAAAACAAAAGAAAAAGAATTAAACATTTATCTTACTTTTCTTATAGGAACTTCACCCTTGGATAAACAAATAAATGATGGGAAGTCCTCTTTATAAAATATTCCAACAAACATATTCCATAAATGATAGAAATGCAAAATCACCTTTTTGCAACCCCAATAAATAATGGATGTACTCATTGGGCATCAATAGCTGCTAGCATTCCCCCAAAAATATATGCTTCCTGGTAAAAGATGCATCACTTCCTTTAATCTTTAATTTTAAACAAAATTCCAAAAATGCATTTCATAAGTCATTAAAAGTTAAAATGCTGCATTAGTAAATATTCACATAATATAAAATAAAGCAGTCATGGCAGCATAGATGAACAAAAAATAGACATGAATTGTACAGAAAAACAAGTGGAAATTGGCAGATGTAACTCCAACTATGTCAATAATAACATAAATGTCAATGAATTAAACAACTTAATCAAAAGGAAATGATTATAAGACCATCCTATCTAATAATAGACAACGATTGAAATTAACCGTACCTCTGCTACACTTCCCATTGGCTAATCAGCGAGATATGCAAATTAACTGCCAATAATAACTCTAAGTGTAAATGGATTAAATGCTCCAATCAAAAGGCATAGGTTAGCTGAATGGATACAAAAACATGACCCACTGTATGTTGTCTACAAGATACCCACCTCAAAACAAAAGACACGCACAAGATGAAAGTGAAGGAATGGAAAAAATTTTTCCATGCAAATGAAAAAGAAAAAAAAAAGCTGGAGTAGCAATACTCATATCCAACAAAATAGACTTTAAAATAAAGGTCATTACAAGAGACAACAAAGGTCACTACATAGTACTAAAGGGATCGATCCAACAAGAGGATATAACCCTGGTAAACATATATGCACCCAATATAGGTGCACCTAAATATACTATAAAAAAACTTCTAGAGGACTTTAGCAGAGAGATTGACAACAATACAGTCATAGTAGGGGGCTTTTATACCCTACTGATTTCACTGGGTAAAAAAGTCAACAAGGAAGCAGTGACTCTAAATGACACACTAGATCAGATGGATTTAATTGACATTTACAGAACATTTTATCCCAAAGCTGAAGAATACACATTCTTCTCAAGTGCACATGGAACATTCTCAGAGAAAGACCACATGTTAGGACACAAACAGGTCTCTACAAGTTCAAGGAGATTGAAATTGTATCAAGCATCTTCTTGGATCACAATGGCATGAAAAAAGAAATAAACTACAATAAAATACTAAAAAACATTCAAACACATAGAGGCTAAATAGCATGTTCTTAAATGATGAGTGGGTTAGCAATGAGATAAAGGAAGAAATAAAAAGCTTCCTGGAAACACATGAAAATGAACACCCAACAACCCCAAATCTATGGGACACAGCAAAAGTAGTCCTGAGAGGGAAGTTCATAGCATTACAGGCCTCCCTCAAAAAAATAAGGAAAATTTCTAATAAACTATGCTAACCCTACAACTCAAAGAATTCAAAAGAGAACAACAAGAAAAGCCCAGAGTAAGTAGATGGAAGTTAATAATAAATATC